GCCAGCCTGAACTGCATAACAAGACCCTGTCTCAAAAAGACAAAAAAAACCCCAAACTCCCAACTCCCCGAAAGCCCATCCATGGGGCATGCGGAGAAAGGAAATAAGTTTTACAGCTGAAGCATTCAAAGTTATTGAAGAGATTAAAAAAACCTAGGTGAACACTGGGATACTCAACTTTATAAAACAATACTACTGGGTATAAAAGATCAGATAAACATCAATACAGTTATAGTGGGGGACCTTAATATGCAACTGTTACAAATGGACAGATTAGCTAGACCAAAAATCACCAAAAAAATATGAGAGTTGAGCCAAACCTTCCAACAAATGGACCTTATCAATATCTAGAGTGGTCCACTCCAAAACAGGAGAACACATTCTGCTCATCAGCAGTGGATGGGTCTTCCTCCAAAAGAGACCATCTACTAACCCACGAAGCATGCTTACATAAGTTCAAAAGAATCAAAATGATCCCATACATATTACCAGATCGTAGTCCAATGAAACAAGAAATCAATGGCAAAAGAAACCACAGAAATTATTCAAGCACATGGAGATGAAACAGTGCCCTCTTGACTAAACCAATGGACCACAAATGAAATCAAGGAAGAAATTGGTTCCCGCAATCAAATCATAATGCCAGTGTAACATGCCAGAACGTACGGGACACAATGAAAGCAGCCCTAAGAGACAAGTTTATAGAGTGAATGCCTACATCAAAGAAAGAGAGCAAGTCCAAATAACCCAATGATGCACCTCGAGTTCTTAGAAAAACATGAACAACCCAAGTCCAAGGCTAGTAGAAGGAAGGAGATTATAAAGTCACAGCAGAAATTAATGAAACTGAGACTAAAAATCAATACAATGAATTAAAGAGTTGCTTCTGTGATCAAATCAACGAAACAGACAAATCCTTAGTCAACTTTACAAAAATAAGGAAAAGAAGACCCAAGTGTATGCGATTAGAAATGAAAAAGGAGGAATCATGGTGGAGTCTGCTGAAGTCTAGAAAATCCTTGGTAACTACTTTGAGGTAGTGTACCCTAGTAAAATGGGAAGTTCTGAAGAAATTGACAGACTGCTATACATGTATGAACTCTGAAACTGAACCAGAAAGATTTAAAAATCCTGAATAATCCAGTATCAGTCAGTGAAACTGAAGAAGTAATGAGAAAAGCCTATCAACTTAGAAAACCCCAAGTGCCGATGGATTCACTACTGAATTCTACAAGAACTTTAGAGAAGGTCTAACAGCAATTCTCTTCAGACTCTTTAATGAAACTGAAAAGGAAGCAGTACTCCCAAAGTCATTCCTGGAAGCAAGCATCACTCTGATTCCAAGCCAGAAAAGAATCCTATCAAAAAGGCCGGTCTCTCTCTCCTCTCTCTCTCTCTCTCTCTCTCTCTGAGACAGAGTTTCACTGTGCAGTTCAGGCTGGCCTTAAACTCTCTTTATAGTCTAGGCTGGCTTCAAATTTGTAGTGATCCTCCTGAGTGCTGGGATTACAGGGGTGCACCACCGTGGCTGGCCAGGCCAAATCTTTACTGAACATACTTACAAAAATCTTCAATAAGATACTGGCAAACAGAATGCAGCAAATTGTTAAAAAGATCATACCTCATGACCCAGTAGGATTTATTCCAGGGATGCAGGTATGCTTCAACACATGCAAATCAATAAATGTAATATACCACATAAACAGAAGCAAGGACAAAAATTACATGTTCTTGGGGCTGGGGATATAGCTCAGTGGCACAAGCACCTGCCTGGCAAGTGCAAGGTCCTGAGTTCGATTTCCGGTACCAAAACAAACAAACAAACAAAAAATTACATGTTCTTCTCAATAGATGAAGAAAAAGCATTGGACAAAAATTCAACATCCTTTCATGATTAAAACACTGAAGAAAATAGTGTAGAAGGTTTTTATCTCAAATCTGATAAACACCATCTATTACAAAACAATGGACAACATCATACTAAATGGAGAGAATCTGAAAACTTTCCCTCTAAAATAAAAAACAGGACAAGGATGTCCACTATCACCAGTCTTGTTCAATATAGCTCTTGAAACATTATCCAGAGCAATTAGACTACAGAAAGAAATAAAATAGATATGGATAGGAAAGGAAAAAGTTGAATTATCATTATTTGCAGATGACATAATCCTCTACATAGAAGACCCCAGAAACTCCACCGAAAGACTCTTAGAATTGATAATCAAATTCAGTAGCATAGCAGGATACAAAGTCAACACTCAGAAATTAACAGCATTCCTGTACACCAATAATAAAATCATTGAGAGGGAAATTAGGGAAAAATACAGCTTTCACAGTAACATCAAGTAAAATGCATTAACTTAACCCAGGAAGTAAAGACCTCTGCAGTGAAAACTACAACACTCTGAAAAAGGAGGTAAGAAGGTATCAGAAAATGGAATGATATTCCCTGTTCCTGGATAGGCAGAACCAATATAGTGAGAATGGCCATACTTTTCAAACTGTTACACAGATTTATTGCAGTTCCAATCCCAGTGCATTACAGAACTACAGAAAGCAGTCCTAAAAGTTACATGGAACCAGAAGAGCTGGACTTGCAAAAGCAATTCTGGGCAACAAGGGCAAAGCATCACAGTTCCAGAGTTCAAGTTATACTACAAAGCAACAGTGATAAAAACAGTATGGTATTGGCAAAAATACAGACATGTGGATCAGTGACAGAATGGAAGATGCAGAAACAAGTCCAGGCACACTCTGCTACCTTATCTTTGATAAAGGGGCCAAACACTTTTGCTGGAGAAAAGACAGCCTCGTTTAACAAAAGTGCTGGGAAAAATGGCTATCCACACACCAAAGTTTGAACCTAGACCCATATTTCTATCTATTAACACATTCCCAAAGTGGCTATAATTTGTATGTCTTGCCCCAGGACAGCTCTGATTCGAACATGTTATACTCCTGCCGGATAGAGCCACCTGTGGTACATGCACAGCTGTCCCGTCAGGCAGCGCGGGACAGTCCCATTGGATGATTCAAGCTTCCCAATGGGACAGTCATGCATGTACCACTGGTGGTGCAAGCCAGTGGGAATGTGTTAAAGTAAAATCAAATTGGGTCAAAGATCTAAATATTAAAATAAAACAATATGCTAGAAGACAAAATATGTAAAACTCCTGAAGACATATGCATAGGCAAAGATGTTCTGAATAGAATCCTGGTTGCATAAGAAATAATACCAAGAATCGGCAGGTGGATCACGTCAAATTAAAAAACTTCTGCACAGCAAAGGAAACCACCGATAGAGTGAAGAGCCAAGCTACATAATGGGAAAAATAGTTTGCCAGCTACTCCTCAGCCAGAGGACTCACATCTGGAATATATAAAGAACTAAAAAATGTCCTGAAAGCCTGGAATTTAAAGACAATCGGTGTTTATCATAATTAGCTTGATAAGGACTTACAGAAGAATTAAATGAGCCTGATGCCAGCAAAATCCCCCCAAAACAAAACAAAACAGGGGGTGGAGTGGAAGACTGAAAAAAGAATTGAGGTGTATTATGCACACGTACCAACTCCCCACAGGAAATGTAGTCATGAGGTACTGTGAACACACACAAATAAAAACATAAACATTGTAAAAAAGCGAGAGGAAATGTTTTGAGGGAGATTAACGCCAATTTGTCTTTTACTGTAATAACTTTTCATTACACGTTTCATCCACATCTGGTATTTTGATTTGTGGACTACAGTTATGGAGAGCCCAAGAGTAAGTATGTGAAGATCAGGGAGCCTATACATTCAACAATCCTTCCTGAGGACACGTAGGCTAGGAGCTGACAGACTGACAATGTGTCACTGGGAATGATGAGATAAATGTTATAAACATGTTAAAACGAAGTGGGCTAAAATATGGAGAAGTGTGGGACAGGGGAAGTCCCGGTTTAACCTAAGGGTGCCGAGCTGCACCCTTAAGGATCTGATGCAACCTAGGGAGTGAGTGGAAATGCGAAGGTACTCCGGCTAGAGGAGACTGCGCCATCCAAGGCTGACGGCGGTTAAGCGTCGTGGAGCGAGGTGCTGGGCTCTGTAGCCCCAGCTGCCACATTTGCGGTGGGAGGCGAGGAGCAGTGACGGGGAGGCAGAGGCCCCCAGGGCTGTAAATCCGCGATGCCCTGGGACTGAGGGGCGCCATTCCTCGGGGACTCAGGCCGCAGTGAGCCGCCGTTTCTGATGTAAATGGGACAGTTTCCTCAGGGGAGTGCAGCCGAAGACGGGACAGCCCTGAGAAGGCTACGAGGGAAGTCTTTACCTTTAAGCAGCTCAGCGACATGGTGAGCTCTCCATGTCGGGCACGAGCAGCTCTGCGGAGAATGGTTGGAGCGGGGCAGCTACGGAGCTAAAAATACTGGCTTGGAGGGTACTGTTCAGGCGTCACCTCCGGAGGGCCTCAGCCAGGGTGGAGGAACGAGGGATGCAGTGGGGGAACAGGCCTGAAAAAGTCCCACAGCGGGGAGGGCTGGATCTGGAGATCGCGGATGTGCAGGAGGAGAGTGAGGGTGGCCCCTGGCTCTCCAGCGCCCGTGACTGAGTAGGTGTGGGATCAGTGCTGCGACACAGGAGCGCAGGGGAGAGCCAGCGGGGCGTAGATGACAACGACCTGGGTCAGGACCTGCTGAACGTGCGGTGCTGAGAGACAGGGCCCAGCGCCGGGACCGTGTGTCAGCAGTGAGATGAGACGGGGTGCAGGCTAGGGACAGTTTGAAGAGCTGGCAGTATGCAGGAGCCCGCTGGAATGAGAAGGGCTGGCCGACACGGCACGAAGAACACCCTACCTGTTCCTTCACCTAACAGGCAGAGCCCCAGGGTTCTGCTGTGAGTGGGTTACGGGGACCCCAAACTACTGGTTTCCTTGTGTCTTAGCTCTTGGGGGAGCTGGAGGCCCCTGACTACCCACAGCCTCCATTCGCTGTTGCGTGCACACGTGCCGTGATCGACGGGTCAGGAGCACACCGCTCTGTTCTGCGGCGCGCTCCTGAGCGCTTGTGCTTCCATGCATCCCAGTCATTACTACTGTCCGTTTCCTTCAGCGCGACCTCCATCCTCTCCCCAAACTTACTTGGGGAGGAGCTGTGGTCCTCTCTCTGGGACAGTGCCTAATCTCAGAGTCCTACATAAACCTTTTCTGAATAAAGGAGTGTACACAGTGAGATGAAGCGCAGCAAGAGACTAGAACACGAGGAAATATCAATAGCTGGAGGGTTCGGGAAAGAGGGAAGGCACAGAAGCAGGGGGAGGACAGAGAGGCCGGCGTGGAAAGGCAAAGGAAGGAGAGGCGTGAGCAGAGCTCGGGCCCTGGTATCAAACGCAGCAGGGAGGGGGCATAACGGGAGAGCAAAAGCTGCTCAGAAGTCAGGGCAGAAGGAGGCAGGACACAGCTGTGGTCACAAGCGTGTACGCTGGAGCGACTCTGCCCACATTCACAACCCTCAGTCTGCCGCTGCGTGCTGTGCGCAAGTCACTCACGCTTCCCGCGGATGCGGTATTTGTCAGATGACAGGAATGCTAACAGTGACTGTTCCAGAGGGTTGGTGCGATAATTAACGCACCAGTTCCTGCCGAGTACGTGCGGAGCGCAGTTCCCGGCACTCAGGAAACAGGTTTCCAGCTATTACTGATACTCTGTCTGAGCTGCTGTAAGAATGACACTTCCATTCACCATGATTTCCTGAGTACACCATTCGCTATGACATTCGCTATGATAATTAATACCTTAATTACGCTGTTATTTTTATGACACAGATGAATATCCCAGAAATGATGCTTGTAAAGCTACACGGGGGAACAACAGCAGGTAACGTGAATACATGGGATTGCAGGCCAAGAATGTCATTACAGTGGACAAAAATGAGATAGTATTTTGTCCTATTTTAAAGACATGGGAAAAAAAGTAAAGACATGGATCAGATAAAAATTCTCCTGGCTGTAGGGACGAATATTGAAGTAGGAAACATTTCTGCGAGCGCTGTCGGGGCAGACGTCCCGCAGTGAACACTCACCTGCTGCTTAACAGCAGCTGTGTCGGCCACTGTCCACATCTGCTTTTTCTTGAGTATTTGGTCGAGGATAAGGATGTCATCCGAGTAGCTCAAGGGAGGGTTGATAGGCTTTACATTGGCTGCCTTTACAGAGATTTTAAGAAGCAAGTTAGTCATACAGCTTCGTTTGAATTGTACAACAAAGACAAAATCAAGAGAAAGATGTTTTGAGAGCGTTTGTGTATGACTGATGAGGTCGTTGCTAAAGCGTTTGTTGGTTTTGGTGGGGAGCCGAGCTCAGGGCCGTGTGCGGGGGACACGTAGTAAACCCTCTTTAATAATGGCAGAGCCCTCTTGTAGGGGAAATGCAAACTCACATGTGAAATGGGGCGGCAGAGCAGAGTCAGCCGCCTCAGACCCAAGCCTTCCAAGCTGTCACAACGCACTGAAAGGGAGGTGCCCTCACGGAGTACTTATTGTTTCTAAGCTTCTCGTGGGAAACCAGTGTCTGCTTTCCCTTTCCCAGGCCGCTGAGCAGTGTTAGTGGAAATCACATACATATGCTGATCGCTTTCTTTTTTTATTTTAAAGAGAGTTAAAAAAATAAAAATGATACAGAATTTCAAAACAAGATGATAGGAAATTAACAATGGTTGTTATATTACATATTGTTATCTTCAAAGTAGTTGCCCGGATTACCAGATATAGGCATGTAAAATTGATCAAACAATTAAGCATTAACTGTCAATACACCAACAGAAATTAGCAGTACAATTATCTTAGCTATCCTGTATATATACATATATATGTATATATATATATATATTTATTTTTCCCTTCTTTTCTCCTTTCCCCCATCCCAGTTGTTCTTTCCATTTGAGCAGTTTCTTTCCCTTTCACACTATCTATTGTACCATTTGGATTTTATTTACTCTTTCAGTTTCTTATACTAGGGAGACAATACAATGTTTACACATGTGAGTCTGATTTATTTCACTTGTGAGTATGGTCTCTAGTTGCATCCATTTACCTATAAAAGCCTTGAGTTTATCTTTCTTTATAGCTGAGTAATACTCCATTGCATAAAAATACCACATCTTTTTTATCCATTCCTCAGTTGATGGGCATTTGGGTTGTTTCCAAGATTTAGCTATGACAAACTGTGCTGCTAGAAACAGATGCACATATATCACTGTGGTATGATGTTTTCAATTCTTCTGGAAAAATACCCAGAAGGGGAATAGCTGGGTGGAATGGGATCTCTAATCTTAGTTTTTTGAGGAATCTCCACACTGATTTCCACAGTGGTTGCACCAGTCTACCCTCCTACCAACAGTGGAGAAGCGTTCCTTTTTCTCCACAGCCCTGCCAGCATTTGCTATTGGTTGACTTCTTGATGATAACCATTCTTTCTGGGGTGAGATGGAATCTCAGTGTTGTTTTAATTTACATTTCTCAAATGACCAACCATATTGAACATTTTTTCATATGTTCATTTGCCATTTGTATTTCTTCATCTGAGAAATGTGTATTCATCTCAGATGCCTATTTTTAGATTGTGTCTTTGAATTTTGGGGGTGTGATTTTTAAAAAATATGTTCTAGATAGAAGTCCTGTTTCTGATGGATAGTCCACTAAAGTTTTTTCCCAATTTGTGGGTTTTCTTTTTACCCTGTTGGTGATTTCTTTTGATGTGCAAAAGCTTTTCAATAAGGTGAGATCCCAGTTGTTGATTCTTTGAAGTATTTCCTGTGCAGTCTGGGTTTTTTCATGAACTTTCTGCCTACTCCTACATCTTCAAGATTCCTACCCACTTTCTCCTCTAAGAGATTTAGTGTTTGTGTTTTAATATTTAGATCTTTGATCCATTTTGGCTTTAGTGTAGTACATGGTGATAGACACAGGTCTAGTTTTAGTCTTTGGCATGTGGACAGCCAGTTTTTCCAGAACCATTTATTAAAGGGGCTATCTTTCTACCCGTGAACATGTGTGGCCCCTTTGTCAAACATAAGGAGGTTGAGTGTGTTTGGAGTTGTGTCTACATTTTCTAATCTGTTCCACTGATACTCAGGTCTGTTTTTTGCCATTACCATGCTGATTTTGTCACAGTAGCTTTGTAGTATAATCTCAAGTCAGGGATTGTGATGCTTTTTGCCTTACCTTTGTTGCCCAAGATTGCCTTTGCTATTCTAGGTCTCTTCTGAGTCCAGATGAATTTTAGGAATGTTTTCTCTAGATCTGAGAGGTATGCTAACGGTATTTTGAGCAGGGTTGCCTTAAATCTGTATAACAGTTTTGGGAGTATGGCCGTTTTCACAACGTTGGTTCTTAGGACTATCTTTCCATTTTTCTGAAATCCTCTTTGATCTCTTTTTTCAGAGTACTTTAAGTTTCAGTGTATAGATCTTATACTTCCTTTGTTTTCTTTGAATATTTATATTACTGAATCTCGTCCAGGCCTTCAATACTGATTGACATTTCTTTGCTTCATTTGCTGTTAATACTCTTACAGTGCTCAAAGAGGCTGCTGGAAATCCAGACATTCAAACTCCCTCAACTGATGATCTTGCCTCTTTATTTTTAATTTTTTCTTTCTGTTTTTTTGAGACAAAGTCTCCATATGTAGTTCAGGCTAGGCTTGGATTGCTATGTAGCCTAGGCTGGCCTCAGATTTGCTCTCCTCTTGCCTCAGCTTCCTTAAGTGCTAGGATTACAGGCATGTGCCATCATGTCCTGATGTTCTTGTTTCTTTAAAGCTACCTAATATGAATTCTCTTAACTCTTCTTCCCACTTTATGATTTTTCCATCCTTTAATCTATTCCCTCCCTCCCTTCTTTTCTTCCTCTTCCTTCCCTTCTCTTTTCCCTTTCTCCTGCCTCCCATTTTTCTTTTCTTTACTTTTCCTTCCTTCCTTCCTTCCTCCTCTCCTTCCTTCCTTCTGTTTCCTCTCTCTTCTTCCTCTCCCTCTTTCTCTCCTCTCCTTTTCTCTCTCTATCTCCCTTCTCCCTCTTCATCTCCCTTTCACTCCCCCTTTCATTTTTTTGCAGTACTGGGGATTGAACCCAGGGTCTTCAACTGGGCTGTGTCTTTTTAATTTTGTGACTGGGTCTTACTAAGTCACTAAGTTGCCCAGGCTGGGCTCAAACTTGAAATCCTTCTGCCTCAGCTTCCCAGTGCTGGGATTACATGCGTGCATTGCCATGTCTGGTCTTCCCCTTCCCCGCCAGTACTGGGGACTGAACCCTAGCACTCTACTACTGAGCTACTTACCTCCCAACTGTTTTTACTTTTATTTTGAGACAGGATCTTGCTAAGTTGCTGAAGCTGGGCTTGAACTTTCAATCCTTTTGCCTCATCCTCCTGAATAGGAGGGACTACAGATGTGCACTACCAAGGCTGGCTTCTCCTTGGGAGTTTTTCCTGATTTCTAAGGTCCAAAGTCTCTGCTTGTAACCTTTTCTTACTCCTTTCCTGGAGGGTTTTTTTTTGTACCAGGGATTAAACCCACAGGTGTCACACTGATGTACTCTACAGAACCTTTTTATTTTTATTTTGAGACAGGGTCTCACAAAATCACTAACGGGTGGGCTCTGCTTGAGTTTGAGATCCTTCTGTCTCCGCTTCCCAGTGCTGGGATTACAGGTGTGTGCCACCGTGCCTGGTTTGAATACAGTTTTTGGATTGGTATGTTTGCAGTATATAACATTTATAGTTGTTCCGGTGAATTACGTTTGTATATAATCTTTGTCATTTTGGGTCCCTTCCCCTTCCTGAATGTTCTGTGTAATGTTTGTCATTTTGTTTTGTGTAGCATTTTACATGCTCACAGTGAGTGTGGAGTGGGGTGTTGGACACGAGTGGATGGGGTGGGAGAGTGGCCCATGTAGCTCCATTACTTTTATTCTAAAACTCGAAAGTTCCATTTAGTTAGAATTAAAATTTATAAATGTATAGCATATTAGATTAGATGTAGTATATTAGATGAGTTATAATGTACTGTGTAGTATATCATGTCTCACAATGTTATATATTTATATACATCATATATGTATCTATATCTAAGATACTATATATGTATATGTAGTATTATCAATGTAAATATACATCTTAGACATCTAAGATACTATGTATTATGTATTGCATAATCATAAATGAATATATCTTACATCTAAGATACTATATATTTAGAAATATTATATAATAATAAGTGTAAATATATCTTAGACCTTTATATTAGCTGTATATAATATTTATAAATGTACATATAATAGAGGTGGTATGCTTAGATATAGATATGTACATATGTATACATGTAGTATAATAAATATATGTAGTACATTATATGTAACATATAGATAGTAATGAATGTTATTGAAAAATTCAGGGATGGGGATGGAGATTGTGATTTTATTTAAATATAGACTTTACAAATAATTTACTGAAGGGGCTGGGGATTTAGCTCAGTGGCAAAGTGCCTGCCTGGCAAGCGCAAGGTCATGAGTTCAGTTCCCGGTACCGGAGAAAAACCAAAAAAAAAAAAAAAATAATTTACTGAGATGAAAATTTATAGAGCATAAAATTAGCCATTTGATCCAGGTATGGTGGTGCATACCTGTAATCCCAGCACTTGGAAGGCTGAGGCAGGAGGATCATTGTGAGTTAGGGGGCCAGCCTGGGCTACATAGTGAGTTCAAGGCCAGCCTGAACTGCATAGCAAGACCTTGTCTCAAAAAACCAAAACCAAAACCACAAAAAAATTTTAAAAAGTCAGCAGTTTGTGCTAGGCATGGTGTTGTATGTCTGTAATACCAGCACTCTGGGAGGCTGAGGCAGAAGGGTTGCAAATTTGAGCCCAGCCAGGGCAACTTATATTGACTTAGCCAGACTCTGTCTCAAAATAAAAAATACGAAGGACTGTGGTTGTAGCTCAGTGTTAAGGTTCTGGGTTCAATCCCTGGTACCACCAAACCAGACCAAAGCAAACCAGACCAAACCAGACCAAAGCAGACCAAAGCAAACCAGACCAAACCAGACCAAACCAGACCAAAGCAAACCAGACCAAACCAGACCAAACCAGACCAAACCAAACCAGACCAAACCAAACCAAACCAAAGCAAAGCAAACCAAACCAGACCAAACCAGACCAAAGCAAACCAGACCAAACCAGACCAAAGCAAACCAAACCAAACCAAACCACCCCCCAAAAAAACCCCACCAAACTCCCAAACCAAAACAAACAAGCAAAAAATTAGCCGTTTGAAGTGTTCAGTTCAGTGGCATGTAAGCCGCTGCTACTGCAGGGACTGTTGTTAGAGGGGCCTGCTGAGGTGACATTGTGCTCAGGAGCTGAAAGAGATGAGAGAGCTGTGCAGACGTCTGGGGCAGCACGGGGGGAGGAGCCGCGAGGCCGGGGCATGAGGAGGAGGGTGTCCGCGGTGTCAGAGGAGCAGGGCAGAGGCTGCGCAGGCAGAATGCAGTGTGCTGGAGGTGGCAGCAGAAGCGATAGGTACGCAGCGAGGGTCCGGGTCAGCGGTGCCCAATAGGACTTTCCGCAGTGAGACGGTCTGCATTTTTGTGCCATCTAGTAAGGTAGCCATCTGCTACGCATGGCAACTGAGCACCTGGAATGTGGCTAGTGTGACTGATGACCTGTATTTATAATTTTACTTAATATAAATTAGGCAGCCACTACTGGCTGTCACTAGCGAGAGGGCTCAGGTATAGGGCCTTGTAAGCTACTGTGAAGAATTTGGGCTTTCTATCTAGTGGTATGGAAAGCTATTGGAGGATTTTGAGCTGACTTTAATAGAGCCACTGGCTACTGTATTGAGAATAGAGTAGAGGGGGCAAAAGTAGAAGCCAGAGGACCACTTGGAAAGCTCTCTCTGCTAAGGTTATGGAGATAATCTAGTATGTAGTATGCTCTTAATAAAATATCTGTATCACAATTTTCTTCCTTCCAAAGGGACTGAAGGCATATCAGTGGTAAAGCATGTCCTTAGCACACACTAAGCCCTGGATTTTATCCCTAGCACCAAACCAAACCAGACCAGACCTAACATACTGACTCTTCTATGGGTTATTCTAGGTGACAGAAGTTACTCGGTGAAATAGCTGGGTGTGGTGGCTCACGCCTGTAATCCCAGCACTTCAGGAGGCTGAGGCAGGAGGATCGTTGAAAGTTTGAGACCAGCCTGGGCTACAAAGTGAGCTCAAGGCCAGCCTGCACGGTACAGTGAGACCCTGTCTCAAAAAGACAAAAAAATAAAAAAAAGAAAGAAAGAAAGTCCTTGCATAATGAACTTTGTATTACTCCTGTTAGAGATTGACGTATACAGATAAGCATCATGTGTAGGTGAGCAGTGATCAATTTCCTGACGTAAATTTAAAGAGGGAGAAGTGTTCAGTTATTTCCATGCTGTCAGGGTTATTGGCCTGGGTTAACTTCGTTTGGATAAAGACAAAATTGGACGTTGGGGTCATTTGTGCTGGTGAAACCCTTCTCCAGGACTCTCACACCCTGCGGCTGGAGCTGCCTTCTGGGGATTTCACCACACGAGCCGCAGACGGACCTCTGGAACTCAGAGACGCTCCCCAGCGCGGCCTGGTCTCCACATTAACCCCAGTTCTGTTGCACAGGCTGTGAAGCCTGTGACAAACCTGAGGCAAGGCCAGAGCTTCCTGAGAGAACACCTACAGGTTGGCTTGAGACCTTAAAACTCACAACAGTAAAACGTACCAGGGCAAATGGATTAGAGGCAACAAAGCAAAGCCAGGCCAGAAGGTACAGCTAGGACCGTAAGTAGAGTTCTGGTCAAGGATACACAGCCACTTCATCACAGCACTGCCCCGTTGATGTGGGCTTGTCTTCCCATCCCATAATGTCTGGCCCACCACAGTGTGGTGGATTGACAACTGGTGGTTAACTTGTAACCCCCAGCTGAACTGAAGCAGTGCGGTGCTGGGCATGGGAGCCCACCCGAGGACTGTTGCCAGCAGCATAAGAGGCAGAACTGGAGAGGAAGAAGTTTAGAAGCTGTAAGGAGTGGTTGGTTGTTCTGGAGGAGCTCGTCGTGCTGGCTTTGCTGATGAACTTGGCTGTTTTCATCCTCTGAGGAGCTCAGCACCTCATTGGCACTGGGAATGGCTTTGGTTCACTTTGAGGGAGCTCTGGTCCTCACTTTGAGCGTCGCTTCCTGGCTCCAGTGCAGATTCCTCAGCCTGCAACACAGATCCTCATCCCGCTGGCACAGACTTTCTAGCTTCCACCACTGACTTTTGGGCCTTCCCAGCGCAGATCTGTGAATCAGGCCTGCATGAGACACTGTTGTGGGCTCTGGGCCTCCAGCTGGACTCATGCAGGACATTACCGTGGGATCCAGGCCCTCAGCCGGATTCTTGGTCTTTAGTGTGTGGACAGGTTTCCTGCACTCTCTTGTATGTGACTCTTCAGGTGCCTATTATAAATAATCTTATAAACTATAGGTCCTGTATTGCTCCCCTTGCAATATCCTCCAAACCACAATGCACTGTCTTGGTCCGGGTGAGTCCAAATTGCAGCTTCTGGCCCCGGAGTGAGCGGCTCAGTGAAGGCAGAACTGTGGCCTTTCACCGCTGTCATCTTTATGTTGCCAGCTCCAAACCGAGGGTTGTCATTTTCGGTAAGTTTAAGGGTTTGTTGAAATTACATGAAGTATTTACAGTTAGGCTTAGATCGAGGTACACGGCTATGGAAACTGCTTTGAAACATGGCTGAAAATATTTCATAAGACGTATGGGATTAATTCTCTTGGGGTGGTGCTTTAAAAATCCAAGTATTAAGCCACTGTTAATTCCTATCATTTTGTTTTAAAACCCTGTATCATTTTTATTGTTTTTGCTTCGTTTTGTTTTTGTCTATGTTATTGTTATTTTATTTTTCAAATTCTCTTTAAAATAAAAAAAATCCAAGTATGAAACGTGACATAATCTAAATCCCACCTGTGCTTTCCAGTCTCTTCTATGGAAAAAGTAGTCCTCAAAGAAATTCAGGGGCTCTTTTCTCCTTAGCATCTCTAATTTCTGTGTGTCTTTGAAAGGTTTTCCCATCACCATACCATCCATGTTAGGGAACAACGGGAAGATGGGTATTTTCGAGTACGGGCTGTCTGAAGGGAAATTGCACCCTGAAAAGATAAAAACAAAAATGGTGTCACAAACAATGCAGTTCTCATCAAAGGCAAACAGCTGCTTCTCCTCAATGGCCTGTTCCCACTCCATGCCCGTCTGTGGGCTCCAGGGCTCAGCTGAGTGTCTCAGGACCCAGGTCAAGGGGATCCTTGCTTCCAAGCAGTTTCTGTATGACAGAGAGCAGTTACCCAGAGGAGGCTCAGGTCCTGCTCTTGGCCTTTACTTCTGATGAGTCACTGACAAATCTTTTAACACAGCCACGGAGGCGAAAGACCCCTATGATGAAAACTGTTGACGTCTGAAGAGAGAGATTAAAGAGGCTGTAAGGAAATGGAAAAGCATCTCCAGTTCTTGGTTAGACAGAATTAATATTACTAAAATGACCACATTACCAAAAGTGATCTGTAGATTTAATGCAGTCTCTATTAAAAGACATTCTTCACTGAGCTGTAAGAGACAACAATCCTAATAGTTATATGGGACTAGAAGAGACCCAGAATAGCCAAAGCAACCTTGAGCAAATAGAACAAGGTGGAGGCCAGGTATGGAGGCACATGCCTGTAATCCCAGCACTTAGGAGGCTGAGGCAGGAGGATCATTGTGAGTTCAAAGCCAGCCTGGGTTGCACAGTGAGTTTAAGGCAAACTTGAGCTGCACAGGGAGACCCTGTCTCAAAAAGACAAAATAAACAAATAAAACAACAACAACAACAACAAACAAGGTGGGAGACATCACAATTCTGGATTTTAAATTATACTACAAAGCTATAGTAGGGGGCTGGGGATTTAGCTCAGCGGCAAAAGCGCCTGCCTGGCAAGCGCAAGGTCGTGAGTTCGGTTCCCGGTACCGGAGAAAAACCAAAAAAAAAAAAAAAAAAAAAAAAGCTATAGTGAAAAAGAAACCCAAAACCAAGAAATCTCCATTATATTTATACAGAAATAGATATATAGACCAACAGGATAGAATAGAAAATACAGAAATGACCCCATACACCTTCAGCCATCTGATTTTTGACAAAGAGGCTGTCTTTGTTACACTTCTCATTGCTGAGACAAAGTTAAAGGAGGAACGGTTTAGTTAGCTCGCGGTTTGTAGAGGTTTCAGTTCGGAGCTGGCTGGCTGCAAGGTGGGGTGGCCAGGCAGAGGGGCATCGCAGAGGAGAGACAGTGCATGGCAGGCAGAAGGCAGCAAAGCAGGGAAGAAGCAGCCGGGGAGGACAGCGTCCCTCTTTCTGTCCCTTATATTCTGTCCAGGATACCCACATCTGGGGTGGGTAGCACTCACACCAGGGAGGGCCCTCCCATTGCCCACCCCCAGAACTACGTCAAACCAATCAGCGGACTAATTTAGTCCTCACACACTTCATCCCAGCGTCACGCACTCTAAGATCCAGCTGCCTTGGAAAAGCCCCACCTATGACCACATGAGGCTTTGGGGGCACCTCCAGACTCAAGACACAGCAAGGACCAAAAGGACATGTTGGAGAAAAGATAACCTCTTTACAAATGTGCTGGGAAAACTGGTTACCCACATGCAGAAGACTGAAACTAGGCCCATATATTGTACCCTGTACTAAAGTCAAATCAAAATGGATCAAAGACTTAGACGTAAAACAGGAACACTTCTGAGGCAGTCTGGGGCCACACACCCGTAATCCCAGGGCTCTGCTGGAGCCCGGACTGGGTGACTTAGCAACTTGGTGAGATACTGTCTCAAAAATAAAAAAATAATAAAAAGGGCTGGGGATATAGTTCAGTGTAAAGTCCCTAGGTTCAATTCCGAGCACCACAAAAACAAACAAAATAAAGATTCTCCTCAAACCAAAAATATTGAAACTCTTGGAAGATAACTGAGGAGAAACACTCAAAGCCACAGGTACAGGCAAGGACTTCTTGAATAGAACTCTAATAGAACAGAAAATAATACCAAGAATCAATGAATAGGTTATTCAAATTAAACAACTTTTGTACAGCAAGGCATGGTGGCACATGCCTGTAATTCCAGCACTCAGGAGGCTGAAGCAGGAGGATTACTGTAAATTCAAGGCCAGCCTTGGCCACATAGTGAGACCCTGTCTTAAATTTTTTTTAAAAAAGTTTCTGTGCAGCACAGGAAACAATCAACAGAGTAAAAAGACCACCTATAGAGTGGGGAAAAATTAGCTACTCTTCTGATAGAGGGCCAATATATATATATTTTGGTCTTTTTGAGACAGGGTTTCACTATGCAGTTTAGGTTGGCCTTGAATTCACTGTATAGCTCAGGCTGGCTTTGAACTCACAGCGATCCTTCTGCCTCAGCCTCTCAAGGGCTAGGATTACCGGCATGCACCACAACACTCAGCTAGAGGGCTAATATTTAGAATGTATAAAGGACTAAAAAAAAATTAACCACCAAAAAACAAATGACCCAATTAAAAAAAATAGGCAAATGAATTGAACAGACACTTCTCAAAAGAAGAACCAGTGGCCCCAGAACCTTCAGCCATTGGGAAAACAGATCAAAACAACTCTGCGGGTCTGTCTGTCCCCCTGTCAGGATGGCTATCAAGAACACACTAGGTAAACTAGTATAACCGCTATAGAAATTCAGTATGGTGATTCCTCAAAAAAACCAAAACTAGAAATTCTACTTGACCCACCCACCTCCCACCGGGGTATGCTACAGAGCATAGAGGTACAGCCCATGCCTGCCTGTATGTACAGCAGCGCAACTCACTATGGCTACACTCCAGAAACTGCCTCGACGCCCATCAGCAGATGAATGAATATGAAAATAGGGAATATGTGAGGTGTGACTGAAAAGTGTGGTGAATGTTTAAATAAAAAAAATTATGGTAAAAGTCACATTACCATTAATCTCCCAGAAATACTCCCTCCTGCTTGAACATCCTTATCCCATCCTTATCCTGTCTAAAGCAGCGGTCTTGTGAATGTCTTCAGGTGCACTCTTGTGGCTGCCTCAGCATCCTGAATGGATTCTAACTGTCTGCCTTTCATGGTCATTTTGACTTTGGGGAAGAGCCAGAAGTTGCATGACATCAGAATTGGTAAATAAGAGGACTTGTAGAACTGTCTCACAAAGTGGCAGGAATGAGGAAGTGAATGTGTGTGAGGTGGGGGAGTATTATGAGGAGGGCTAATGGCAATGTGTCTTTGATTGTAATAAACTTTTCATGTAAACATTTACTGTATATTTCCATCATACCTCGTATACACAATGGAATATTATTCAGCCATAAAAAGGACAAAGTCATGACATTTTCTAGCAAATGAGTGGAACTTGCGACCATTAGGTTAAGTGAAGTAAGTCAGATACAGAAAGTTAACTATTATATCGCTTCTTATATGAGAAGCTTAAGACCTAAATAAATGAATGAGAGAGTTAAACAAAGGTGAGATGGTAGGAAACAAAGAAGTAGTTTGTTGGAGATGGGGAACAGGTTCAGGGGGAGAAAAGCAGGGCCAGTAAAGGGGTCAAAAGTCATCAAGAGATGCTGTATCTCCACATGCCAATTCTCCAGAGCAAATGTAGCTATGATGTATGGCAAACATACACTAATAAAAAACACTGAGTATCCTTGGAAGCTGTGGAGAGAAAACAAACGGCTCTTACTCTTAAGCTCTTCAAGAAATTTAAATAAATCCTTTTCACTTGTAATTGCAATGCGGGCAGCACTGGCGAAGGCCGCTGTGCTTGAGCTGGAAGTCGTGCACACATCTGGCTTAAACCTTCTTTTCCCATAACCCACAGCACTCGGATTCCACAGCATTTCTGCACTGATATCCTGGAATTTTCTTCGGAAGTAGCTTAAAAAGAAAAGAGTAATTTAAAAATAGCTAAAAGGAGCTATAAGATGAAAAGAAAAACGTTAGATTACAAGTTATATATGCTGAACAAATTTATTTCAAAACTTATTTTCATACTGAAGAATATTTGAATTGGTTTTTGTTTTTTGAGACAAGGTCTTGCTATGTAGTTCAGGGTGGACTTGAGCTCATTATGTAGTCCAGGCTGGCTTTGAACTCATGTTGAGCCTCCTGCCTCAGCCTCCCAAGTGCAGTCAATAATATTTAAGTGCTTCTTTCTATGATATTTATGGAACATCTACTATTATTATTCATTTTTTTGAGTAGTAGGGATCCAACTCAGGGCCTCATGCATACTAAGCAAGCACTCTACCCCTGAGCTACACCCTCAGTCCTTATTTTATTTTGAGAGAACATCTTGCTAAGTTGCCCAGGCTGGCACTGTACTTGCAATCCTCCTGCCTCAGCCTCCCAAGTATCTGGGGTTACAGGCATGTGTCACTACAAGCCTTCTACTATAATTTCCATAGGCTGGTTGACTATTTTCCATCTGTAATTCTTGGCTTTTGATTATCTTCATCTTGCCCAAGACTTCCTGGCTTTATATACAGAAATACTTCAGATCCTTGACACATTCCCTATGTTGGCACTAGCTTGAATATAAACAGGGTTATTTTTATACTGCATTGCTTTGTGTTGAGTTTAAAAATGCAACTTTTTGCTGGGCATGGTGGTGCATACCTGTAATCCCAATACTTGGGAGGCTGAGGCAGAGAGGATTGCCATGCGTTTAAGACCAGTATGGGCTACAAAGTGAGTTTAAGGCCAGCTGAAATATATAGTGAGATCCTGTCTAAAAACAAAACAAAACAAAACAAAACAAAACAAAACAAAACAAAACAGGGAGAAGGAGGAGAGGAAGCCGGGGAAGGGAGGAGGGAGTGGAGAAGGGGAAGGAGAAGAGTTTAATTTCTACAGTTTTATAATTTCTAAAATTCTTGTTGATTCCTAGTTTTATTTCACTGTCATCAGAGAAGACCCATAGGCTATGACTTCAATTTATTTTGAATTTTTGAGACTGTTCTGTGGCTAACGTGTCTGCCCTGGGGGAGGTTTCACCTGCGGCTGAGAAGGCTGCTCTGCAGCTGTGGGGCGGAATGCTCCGCAGCATCTCTTGGGTGAGGGGAGGGCCGCTTAGTCTACAGCGTAAGTATCCGACCTCTTGACTTAACTGGGCTGCTGGGTGAAGAGGGACTGTCGTGGGCCACACATATATAACATGTTAATGTACGTAATTAACAAGACTTTCCTTTTTCTATTTTTATTATGACGTTGAAACAGAACACCAAAGCCCAATTTTAATAATTCAGTAAGAAAACTTGCACGTCTGCTTACTAAGAATAATTGCCTGTCTTCAGGGCATACAGGCGTGTGGGAAGTACCAGGGGTGGCCGGCCCAGATGCGCGAGGCACGTGACGCGATCCAACTGACTGACTGTGGGTCAGGGTCGGGGGGTGGAGTTAGCACTGCACTGCGCCTTCTCCTACCCGGCATTTCACTGTCATCTACGCAGTGTACACTGGAGACCACACAGCGGAGTTGTGGAAATACTGCTAAAAATCACATAACAGTTTACAGTCTTTTTTTTTTTTTTTTTTGGTTTTTCTCCGGTACCGGGAACCGAACTCACGACCTTGCACTTGCCAGGCAGGCGCTTTGCCGCTGAGCTAAATCCCCAGCCCCCGAGTTTACAGTCTTGTAGGGCTGCAGTACTAGCTGCCTGGGGCCACATGTTGCCAGGAGGCTGCGAGTTCGACGAGCCTGGTCAACACGGGTGATCTGGGGGAGGGGGCGGGACCTGGCTGATCTGTCTGTTGATTAAAATTATGATTGTAATAGAGTATCTCTCTTTTTAAATCTAGCCATGTTTGTCTTATGTAGTTAGGTACTTCAGTTTACGTGCATATGTAGTTATAACTGTTATTTGCTCTCGTTGAATTTATTACTTTATCATTATGTAATGATCTTTTTTGAACCTTTATATGGTGTTTGACTTAAAGGATTTTTTTCTGATATATGTAGAGCTACTTTTGCTCACTTTTGGTTTCTATTTGCACAGTATATCTTTTTCCATCCCTTTTTATGGTTCAACGAAAGTCTTTATTAACAAAGGCCATCTTAATGCTTGTAAGTTCATTTTATTTATTTATTTATTTATTTTTTGGTTTTTCTCCGGTACCGGGAACCGAACTCACGACCTTGCACTTGCCAGGCAGGCGCTTTGCCGCTGAGCTAAATCCCCAGCCCCTGTAAGTTCATTTTAATATTAAATAGGATAAGATTGCCTGGCATGGTGGCACACGCCTGTAATCCCAGCACTCGGGAGGCTGAGGTAGGAGGATCATTGAGAGTTCGAGGCCAGCCTGGGCTACAAAGTGAGCTCAAGGCCAGCCTGAACTGCATAGCGAGACCCTGTCTCAAAAAGACAAAACAAACAAAAATAAATAAATAAATAAGATAAGATGCTTAATAGCTGTATTCAACACTTTATTCCAGTTTAGTCCTTGTCACTGAACTTGTTTATATTTTAACAGATGGCATGAATCATCAAGTATTTAGACAGAGGTAGCTGACTACAGTGGAAATAGAAAATTTATAGATGTTTTATCATTAGGTCAGAATGAAAACATCAAATAAAGGATATGATAAAGGTTGGTTTAGTTTATCATCAGGAATTACACTTTTTAAAAGAACAAATATAATTTACAGAAATTATACAAGTCACTTTTTGTCAAATATTAACACATATTTAGCTAATTTTTTTTAGCTGAAATAGTATTTCAACTGTAAAATCCATCTCTGATTACAAAAAAAAATCAGAAACCTTATCAGAATTTAGCATAATTTTCAAATGTCCTAAGAATTCTTTTTTTTTGTTTTTTGTTCTATTTAATTTATTTTAAAAATAAAAGAAGGAAAACATATTAGTAAACAAACATCCACTTATAAAACAGCATAAGAACAATACAAGCAATATAGAGTTACAGACAAAGTGGTAGGAAATTAACAATGGTTGTTGTATTATGTATTGATATCTTCAAAGAATTCTTAAACCACACAATATTTTAAGTAGAAAAACACTAATTTTTAAAGTTTGGTACTGTTTCTATAGTTTATGTGGATGTGTTAATTGGTCTCTTTCTAGGAAACCCAACTAAAAGTTGATCATATTAAGCACTGTAAAATAAAGGCAAAAGCTAGTCACCTTTATCACAAATTGTGTGGAACACTTCCAAGTATCGGAGGTATCACTTAGGGGGTAAGTGCCCAGTACGAAACACTGAACAAAATACATTTACTGGATTGTTATTCACTTGTAGCCACCCTGTTACCCAAAGTAAGGGTTTCTGATGAGTAAAACCCACCGTGCGACTTGCTTCGTGTAGACCATTGCATTCCCCCCACCAAATACTTCATTTTCTCCCCCAGCACCCCACACCCCCTCCGTGGTACCATATTATTAAAAACATTAAGTACCTGGGATTTATGCTTCAGATCAAGACATCATCTGAGTACTTTCAAATGATGTACAACTCCTCATGTAAAAAAGATGTTTTGTGGTTAGCCGTTATACAACCATGGTTCTGACACGCGGCAATTCACGAGTTAAGCAAACGCGAAGTGCTAGAAGACGTGAGCGGCTGCTCTCCTGTCTAGGTATCAAGTGTCCTGTGTAAGAGTGCCGCCAAGCTCAGGCAGAACCAGCCCACGGTACAGCGTGCGAAGTCAGGAAGTACAAACGCAAGGAAGGTAATGCCTTCACTAAGTCACAGAACTTTTGGCAAACCAATGCAGTACTCTTTAATACAATCAAATGGTATTTCTGTGTGAGTCATATGTTGCTTTGGTGATCACTTGCACTTCAGAAATATCATTTAAGTACCAAATCAAAACACTGGTTTCTAACACAGCAAGTTGTTTTACACAAATTAATGTCTTTCACAGCTATGCAGTGTCTTCTTGTAAAGTGGGTTCCTCACACCCGGGTCTAGTTCACATGGCACGGCAACAGCATGTGTAGGTAAAGGTGCCCCTTCTTTGTCCTGGGCTTGGTCCGCAGCGGGGAAAGCCCCGCGGTCTGAAAAGCTTCACCATTCTACCTGAAGAAGACTCGCTGTCAATACCAGCCTTTCCAAGTATTTTTTAAAAAGTTACATTTTCACATCAATACTGGAACCCTAACGAAAAGTCATTTCAGGTCATACATCAGATGATGCCGGTGATTTAGACCCCTGTATCTTAACGTTTTGATGAAAATCACACAGCCTTACTCCAGTTATCAGAAAAAAAAATTCTACCTAAAAAATACAGTTGTGTTTTTAAAATAACAAATAAATACACTGTCAGCTTGGACAGACGCGGTGCTGTGTACCGACTTTATTATTTCTCTACAAATCTGCCGCCGCTGTTGGTGTCCTTGCGCTGCCTCTTGCTGAAGCTGCTGATACTTCAACCTCAGCGTTTAATTTATGTATTACATTCCATGGCTTCTCTGCCATTGGATCTAATCTCCATTGCTTTCTCTACAGGATCAACTACAGAACGTTCTTGCGTATGTTTTGGTTCTTGCTGCACCAATAATAGCCTTCTCAGTGGAAGGGAGCCCCCACTCCAGGCTGAGAAGTCCGTAGCTGTGCAGAGGGATCCGTATGTCTGTCCAGCACATCAACTCTGACCACACTTGGGTTCATAGGGCTTGGGTTGCTTTTTCTTTCTTTCTTTTCCCTTTCTTTCATTTCTTTCTTCTTTTTCTTTTATTTCTTTCTTCTTTTTCTTTCTTTCTTTCTTTCTTTCTTTCTTTCTTTCTTTCTTTCTTTCTTTCATCTTTCTTTCTTTCTTCTTTCCTTTCTTCCTTTCTTCCTTCCTTTCTTCTTTCCTTCTTTCCTTCCTTCCTTTCCTTCTTTCCTTCCTTCCTTCTTTCCTTCCTTCCTTCCTTCCT